GGCCAAGTACAGGGATATCCTGGACGAAAACCTTCTCCAGAGTGCTCAGGACCTCAGACTGGGCTGAAGGTTCACCTTCCAACAAGACAATGACCCTAAGCACACAGCCAAAATAAGGCGTGGCTTCACAACAACTTCGTGACTGTTCTTGAATGGCCCAGCCAGAGCCCTGACTTAAACCCAATTGAGCATCTCTGGATTAGCATTGGTTGGATTTGTGTAATTATGTGTGTGTTGATGTCATTGTTCTGCATGTTTGAAAGAATAAATCAAATCAAATCAAATAATATTGTCCTTTTATCCCATATCACATTGTGAAAATGAAAATTTAGACGACAACTATTACATCCTTGCCAGACCCTCTGGTAGAACTACAGGGTCCCACCACTAAAACAATCAATTAACCAATTGTGCAATTGACAAAAAATTAATCTACAACTGTTTTGATAATCAATCAGCTGTTTCCAAAAGCCAAAGCTCCTCTGCTTTCTGTTTTCTCAACTGTTTGCTAGGTTTCTTTATTTCATATGTCGGTACATTAAGTTTATTGTTACTGAGTTAAAGAGTTTAATATCAGGACTTTAGGAGCCTAGTAGAAATGACATGTGACATTCACAACTTTGTAAAGAAACAGATCTGGAATCTGTGGTGTCACATTAAGCTGAACTACGCCTAAATAGAGAGAAGACAAAAGCTAAATCAATTAAAATATAACTAAAATATCATATAACCATGATCCTCAAATGATCAGCGTACAAAAATATGAAAGAACACAATAAACATAAATGTTAACTGAGCTAGCAAGAAGCCAATTTTCAATTATTTCAGATAAATTGTCTTTAAAAATAATTGCACATAATAATTGTCTGGGAGAGTGAAGGCCAGCGTGCACTGTAACAATGATTAATTCAAAAATTCATATTCAACTCTACAATATGTATATTCTTACCATGGTCTATCCAGGAGCCCCAGGTACTGTCTTTTAACTGTAAGAGGACACCACTTGTCCCTTCTCTGACTAAACTGTTCATATATTTCACCTGTTCCTTACAATACAGTAATTTATGCAGTGAAGCTTTGTCCCTAACATTTTAACATTGTTAAAAAGTCATGAAGCAAACAATCAAAGAGTCATGAAGTTCCAATGACACTTCTCATAGTCCAGTACACATCATTTCCTCAACGTACTGGAGGACAGTACATGAGATTTTACCTGCCAATTTCCTCATGTAATCCTGCTAAATTTATTAAACACGTGAGAACAGCGGCACTCTGAAAGATGCAGAACATAAGTCAATCATATTAAACCACTTGACCTCAGGTGGAACATCCAACAACAGTGTGCGTAAATTTGGAACTTCAATTTAAAATGCACTACCACCTCAATTAAAGACCTATGGCATTTAACACACTGCTTAGATAATGTAGAAAATGTACCACTTGATACTTACTTTTGTCCACTTTCATTACTGGCAAGATTGAAGTATTACTGCATAGATTTTTGCTATATAATCATTGAGCCTATATGTTTTAGCTCATAGACCACGTTCACACTGCAGGCTGAAGTGGCTCAAATCCGATCTTTTTGCCCAAATGCAACCCATATCCGATTTCCTTATGACAGTGTGAACAGCACAAATCCGATTTTTTCAAATCCGACCCAGGCCACTTTCATACGTGGTCCTAAATCGGATACATATCCGATGTTTTGCAATGCGACTTCAGTCTGAACGGCCATGTCGCATTTCATGCGATTTTTATGTCATTGAAATGCGACAGACGTCACAATTCCGCGCTGGAGGAGGCGAGGGATAATAAAAAAATGGCAGACAAGGGTGATTCGGGTAGTCAGTGGAAAGATGGTGAGGTGCATGACTTAATAAGCATTTGGGGTGAGAATGCGATGCAAGCCCCTCACGGAATCCCACCAGTCCTGGCTCAGATTCCGCACCCACACATTCCTCTGTACAGAGGTAGCAGCCACTGCTCCACAAAAGGCCATAAGCAATATTTGTGGTCTCCTTCTTCTTGATATTCTTCTTCTTAATATGTCTTTATTTCGATA